AAATACCGTTAGTTTTATGTATAATATATCATTGATTCGTGAGATTGTATATCCATTGCATGGCATACCTGTGCCGCGCATATGACTACTAATACATGAAGTCAAACGTACGTCACCTGAGATACAATCTATTGATAGATAACTAATTATATGAAAGAATTTTATCCACGTCTTTATGTTTGGATTTGATATTTTATTTCATAGCTTTTGTTATTTGTTTAACATGAAATATAAAATAAAAATAGTACAAATAATATATAAAAGTCAAACACTGTATGTGTGTATGATTTGCACTTTCAATTACATGTCAATTCTGTACACTATTTAGGAATTATTAAATTCTATGGAAAACTTTTGTTTTTTATGTGTGCTATTGATTGAATATATTTAGTTTATTATAGCCATAATAAAATAGCTACTATAAGTTTGCAACTATCAAACATTGAATATAATTATTAACTTTTTATTTTAAGAATTTCATTATATTTTTCCACATTTCAATGCAAACAATATTGAATGAGAAAATTTACATAATATTCTATTCATGGAGTTACATACTTGACTTTTAATTATCAATAGCCTTATATCAAAGTCATTTATGATTATCAAAATTTGCACTAACTGTTCACTATAGACAGTATGCTTTGAATAGTGTATTATAGTGTATAAAATATTTTATAAAATTTGTAGAAAAAATACTAAAATTTTATTCTCAAGCATCACAACACGCCTCCAGTTATTTATCGATCTGAGAGCACCCAACCCACACACCAACTGTCAAGTGAGAGAGAGAGAGAGAGAGAGAGAGAGAGAGAGCTTAATATACTTCATATTCTTTGTATTATATATAAATTGAATGGCACTTAAAATTGAAAATATATTTTTGTTGCTTTAGTGTTCACACATGAAAAATAACTACTAATCGATTATTTGATTATTATATCAATGTTTGATTTTTATATTGCATTTGATTTATACAAAATCTTATTTCTTATTCCCACATAATCTCATAATACATTTGATTTTTTTGGGACAAAAATATAATAATTTTTTCATTTATTTTCTATGATAAACACAATTCAGACGATCACACGATTGTTAAACTCGATTTCAAAGGCGATGTCATCGGCTCCGACTATATTAACGCCAACTTTATTAGCGTATGTTTTAAGAAATGTTTTCCCTTTTTATGATAAAAACAATTTTATTTTTTAGACAGAAATATTATAATTTTTTAATTTTCTAATAAACGTTTTATAGATATATTTTTAATATTTATTTTGCCTTTATTTACAAAAGGGTTTCAATTCTGATGAGGAATATATTGCATGTCAGGCGCCCCTACACTCCACTGTCAATGACTTTTTTCGTATGATTATTGAGCATAACGTCAGGATTGTGGTCACATTAACCCAGTGTATTGAAAAAGGACGGGTATGTCATTTGTCAATATTTAAATATTATTTACTTCACATTTAGCTAGTAACCGTAAATACCATGAGTTAAATGTTAAGAGTTATTTCAATAGATTTTTAAAATTAACTATTTACTTGAATTAAAAATAATTCATTGAAAATCATTTTTATAAATTGGAGTTGCAGTCAAATAATAAACAAAATAGTTTAAACGTCACTTTCATAATGAATTAATTTTACAACTTTTGGGAATCCTATTGAAACGAAATAGTTGTTTGTTTTTATAGTTATTAATAAATTTTATTTTGATTATAAATTATAAATAACTACTGAATTACTATTATATGGGGTATTATATACTAATTCCTAGTGTATACGTGAGTCCATTCACGAATCCTTTCATTATAAAGACATAAATTATTACAAAATAGGTTATAAATATAAAATATTAATTGTGCAAGTACAGTAATTGAATAGTTAATGAACTAAATATACATTAATATCTATAGATAAATAATTAATGAGTATTTTCGGAAAACTTATAAGAATTGAAATAAAACATAAAATTTATTGATTACAAGTAACATAATAATTATTTTAAAAATAAACTTATATGGATTCTTTAAACTTTCTAATTATAGTTAGAAGTATATCTTCTTTATACAAAACTAGCTCTGAAATAGTAGTTCAACCAAATGAAATGGTCCGGAATATTCTGAATCCGACAAAAGTCTCGCAAAATAGATCTGAAGAGCAAACTTATATGTAATCTGTTTATGTGTTTACAGTCTAAATGCGAGAAGTATTGGCCGAGTAGTGACGATCCGGACGACGACGACATGGACAGAGGGGACGACAGCACCGGCAGCAACACCAGGAGCTCGAAAAAGGCCATACCTAGCATGCAGTTCGGTGACATCGCCATTGAATTAGTATCGGAAGAAGCCATTGAAAGCGAATTCATAATACGAGAGCTAAAGCTCATAAAAGTCAGTATTCAATGAATTGTCGACAAACTTGTCGCTCTCACAGAGAAAACTAGCAAATAATAGCTAAACACATGAAAACACATTGATTGAACAACATATCAAATGATTTGTCTCATGTTATTAAAGGGCGATTCGCATCATTCGCTAACGCAATACCATTTCATACAATGGCCTGATTTCGGGTGCCCTCAGAATCCCTATTCGCTCATCCATTTGATTGAAATCATACGAAAACAATACACAGCAATCAATAGCCATGAGAATGGCATCAATTCGCCGATTCTGGTTCACTGCAGGTCAGCGCACAGTCTGTCTAACCATACGTTTGTCGAGACATATACCCGAGTAATCGATAGGTTTAGAAATAAAGTTGTTTTAGAAAAAAGTTTAGAGTATTTTTAGAGTCAACTGGAAATCTATCATTTTTGTGGTAGTAGTACAGTGTATATGCAATTAACCTCTGGTTGCACGGTGTCACTATTAATTATAAGTTGATGGATGATTTAGTTTGTATGATAGCGTATCATAATTTATATCAGTTTTTATGTCACTTAACTATATTGAATAGGCAATTAGTATTATAATTAATTTTATTATATGTGAATATTTAGCTAGTACATAAATGAAATGATAAAACAGTTTTAGATTATTTATGCGGGTGTATTGTCTTATGTTATAAATAATAGATATATTTCTTGTTTCATACAAATTGTTTATTAAACAACTTATTTGCATGTTTGGTGTGTTACTTGTGGTACCAGTGCTGGTGTGGGCCGAAGCGGTACATTCATAGCTGTGGACAGGATTATGGAAATGTTGACCAAAACTCCCGGCGCCGACACGTCACTGCCCAAAGATATTACGATCGATGTGTTTAACACCGTTTGCGATATGAGAAGGTGTCGACCAAATATGGTTCAGACAGAGGTATGTATAGTCTTATCGAAAATGATAATCTATGGGTTTGGCATTGAATTTCAATTTTCGTGTGCATTTCTCGTTGAATGTTATTTTAGGATCAATACATCTATATTTATGACTGCATTAAATACCTTATCGATCGACTCGAGGGTCAAAATCTACAAAATAGTCAAACCGATGAAAATACTAGTCATTGTGATAGAGATGAAAAAGGTATGAATTAAATACAGTTTACTTCTAAACAGCTTTCTCTCTCTCTCTCTCTCTCTCTCTCTCTCTCTCATCGTAAATATGTGTCTACACCTAATAAATTGTAAATAAACTACATATAAACTAATAAAACTTTCTTGAATGTTAATTGCTACCCGGGCATGAATTTTTCTTATTTTATTTACAAATTAATATATTAATAATAAATAGAATTTTTAAAAATTAAATTACATTTAGAGAGAGAGAGAGAGAGAGAGATCGCTTTTATTGAATTGAATATTTGTTTGAATAGTTTACTAAACAATTTGTATTGAATTTGTTGACAGATATAGATAAGAGTGAGTCCTCGACAGACAAATGTGATGAACAAAACTCTGGTCTCAATAGTCATAAAAATAACAGTAATAATAATAATAATAATAATAATAGTAATAGTGATGATAAAAGTAATAGTATGGAGTCCATAGACAAAGTGGACGGTTGTTGCCTGGATGAGAGTAGTGTGGACCCGGATCACTTAACTACCGGCGCTCACCTCACACGACAAATATCTAACGAAAGTTGCGAGAATACAATGTTATAGCGATTACTATTGTAATATTATTGTTATTTTTGTAGTAAACTAATTAATTTTGTTAATTTAAGTATAAAAGACGTGAAAATATTTGAACAATATTTTTGAATTACAAATTATAATAAATGATTTCATTCATAATTTGATTTGATGTACAGTACATTATTTTAAAGTTATTTTAACATAATCATAGAGTTTATTAGCGATATGATCTACATAATACCGGTAGTTAAATATAATATATTATAGAGACTATGTTTTATATGTACAGTATATATTCTGTAACGTGTTTTATAAATATAAAGTTTTATTAAAACGTGAATTAAAGTGAATCATAAAAATCTTTTGCCTTATTATTCTGATATAAATTAAATTTTTATAATTACAGAACTGTTTAAAAATATCTACTTAAAATTTTAATCTAATTAACTGTTTATTTTATTACAAAATACACATTTGATTTTAAAATTAAATTAAAAGTAGAAATAAAATTAAATTAAAAGTAGAAATAAAATTAAATATTTCGTTTTACTTATCTTGAGAAAAATATAACTAATTAATTTAAAGTTTGAAACTTACTTTTTGGAAAATGATTGTTTCAATATAATTAATCAATTTTATTGATAGAATTATTGTAGAATCCATATTTATAATACCGGTAATATGTAATTCATTTACATATTACAAACATATTAAAATTATCCTAGTCAAATGTATTATAAGTTGATTATTTAATACCCAAATATGGTTGAAAAGCACTGTCAGGATAACTATCAATTAAAACGAATCGATGAACCCGAGGACGTGTCTGAAGCCGTAGCATACCTGTGCTCACCCATCGCCTCATTCATAACGGGTGCCATTTTGTCTGTCGATAGGGGTTTTTTGGAGCTCCCGTACCTCTTCAGTAATCTACACCTTTTACTAAATTACATGATTTAATAAACTAATACCAAAATCAATTTATGACAATAATTTAACAAATGATTTTTATTATCAGTCATTTAATTATGTGGGTACATAAATTTTTTAGGCTAATATAGTACCATATAAATAATATGTGCAATGAACATTTAATCAAACGTTTTATTTCATAATCGATTACCCCCAAAAGTACAAAATATAATTTGGTTCAGTAGTGGTGGGTGTAGTTGGGGTTGGCACAGTAGTTGGGACTGTAGTAGTCGGTCGTGTT